GCCAGCAGTTCCTCTTTGCCTTGTATTTGTGGTAGGCCCGGCCAGCCTTCAAGATGGGTTTGTCAATTCGGCCACCTCCAGCCACCACACCAACCACAGCTCTGTTGGCTGAGGAGATAACCTTCTTGGAGCCAGAAGGGAGCTTCACACGGGTCTTCTTGGTCTCAGGGTTGTGGGAGATAACGGTGGCATAGTTCCCAGATGCCCGGGCCAGCTTGCCACGGTCTCCAGGCTTCTCCTCCAGGCAGCACACGATCGTACCCTCAGGCATGGTGCCCACAGGCAGCACATTGCCAATGTTGAGCTGAGCCTTCTTGCCACAATACACGAACTGGCCCGTATGAATGCCCTCGGCGGCAATGAACAGCTCCGTCCGCTTCTTAAACCGGTACGGGTCCCGGAAGACCACCTTGGCAAGAGGCGCGCCGCGGCCTGGGTCGTGGATGATGTCCTGTGGGCCGAGGTGGCTTGAGTGTGGCGTCGCGGCCGGGTGTCCCGTCCCCTCCCGCCCCGCCCCGCCCCGCCCGGCGCTCCGCACCTTCACGATGCCCTTTATGTAGCCGTGCCGCTCGGCGAAATCCACGGCGCGCAGGCGCGCGGCGCCCTTACGGTGCTTCACGTGCGCGCGGAACACAGACCCGGCACCCTTCCGCTGTCCACGGATCACGCGGCCCATGGCGACGGGTCCTGCTCCCGAGCGTGGCCGAAAGAGGAAACACCTGAATTTCAGTTCTTAATGCACAATACTATGCTCCATCATTGTAAATCAATTCATCTTCTTATTCTATTTTTCTCCTCATTTTATTTTTTTGATGAATGTATTTTTATTTTCACAAACGTCTCAAAGGTCCTTGCATACAATGACATTTTGAATAGATCCTTAATATTTGAATTTTTAACAACCAAAGTCACAGAATTTTCCTCTCTGAATATTTAAAAGTAGAATAGGGAAGGGATTATCGTTTGAGAATTATTTTGATCCCATTCTTTCTGGAGGCAGTAGAATTAATTTCACCTTTAAATGTCTACCTCAGACCTATGCTTCTCTAAAAGCATAATCTGAGTCAGGTAGGGAAGACCAAAATCTCTGCAAAGTGTGACATAATATATACAGGAGATGCTTAATTAAAAGAGAAAATCATCTTAACTTTAAAAGTTGTAGCCTGATCAAAATGAAGAGATACATTTTTTCCCCTTTTCACATGTCCCTTTGCTTTTAGGGTCCAGAGGTGAATGACACGATGTGAATTATTTTCTAATTCGAGTCTTACTATGTGATCCTGAGAAATATTTTAGTTTATATGCCTCATTCTTCCTCTATAAAATGGCAGAAAGCTTATTACTTTTTGTTCTTGAGGGCAGTGTGATGTGTTAGAATGAACTTGAGTTGTGAAGTCAAGGATGCTTGAATTTGAGACTAATTTTTTCATCTTAATATTTTTTCATGTGACATCAGGTAGATTCTTGAATACCTTAGAGTTTTGTTTTACTCACCTGTAAAATGAAAGAATATATTTCTGTCTTAGTTTTATGGTGGAGATTTCATGAGATTATGCATGTAAAGCATCTGGCATGAAAACCAGTAGATCCCCGGCAAATGGCAGTTTCTTTCATTCACTCTTTCTTCTCTTAGGCTGTTGCATCAGATAAGGGTTTTGGATATTGCAAATGTTAACACACACAGCACTTAACAAGCTGCTACGTAATCTACTAAGCATTTTATATGTTGCATTAACACATTCAATTCTTACAGTGACTTTATGAAACAGATGATATTATTATCTCCATTTTACAGAGAAGGAACTAAAGTACAGTTAGTTTCTTCTGTCTGTACTTTAGTTCAGATAAATTAAATTTACATGATTAAGGTTGCAAAGCAACATGGTAGAAAACTATAGATATGAACCCAGGCTGTCTGGTTTCTGAGTTCTCCTTTGCTTTTTTTTGGAGACAGAGTCTTGCTTTATTGCCCAGGCTGCAGTGCATTGATGGGATCCTAGCTACTGTAGCCTTGAACTCCTGAGCTCAAGTAATCTTCCTGCCTGAGACTCGTAAGTAGCTGGGACTACAAGAGTGCACCACCGTGCTTGGTTAACTTCTTAAGTTCTTTGTGTAGACTGGGTCTTGCTATGTTACCCAGGTTGGTCTTGAACCCGGGGCCTCAGGCAATCCTTCTGCTTTGGCTTCCTGAAGCATTGGGATTATAGGCATGAGCCTTGGCACCCCACCTGAGGTCTTCTTTTAGCTACTAACTTCTAGGCCCTGATAAGCAACCCTGACATGCCTGACCAGGGGTCGGGCCCATTAGAGCTGGGAGGCCCTTAGGAAATCTTGTCCAGGACTGCCCAAGCTGTTTAGAACACACATGAGATTCTTGGTAAAATATGTTTGGGAAACACTAGATTAAACAGTTAAATTGGTATTTGTTGTAAAGCTTTATTAGAATGTCTCATGGAGGCATTTGGTATGCTAATGTTTACTGTGAATCTCCGAGAAAGCGTGCATACGTGTATAACGCTATGATTCTCAAAAACTCTCTGGCCACATAAATCTTTCTTTTTTTTCAGAGCTAGCTGAGGTTTTATTTTGGACACACACACACAAAAAGCAATTGAATTGTTGTGTAGCTGGAGGCATGGGCAACAGGGGTCCCCAGGCAGTAAACTCCCCCGCAGGTGGACTGAGGGCTAGGGCTGAGCCTCAGGTGGGTCTCCCATTCCCCATGCTCCCCTGCACAGTGGCCTCCCTCCCAGGCTCTGGGGCACCCACACAAGGGGTGGGCTGGGAGGGGCAGGCTGGGAGGAGCTGCTGCAGTTGTCCACTCGGGCAGGATGTCAGAGGACTCAGACACCAGCTTTCCATTACAGGTCTTGATCTTCTTCACAACCAGAGCCAAAGCTGGAGCCTAGGCTGTAGCTGAGGCCAGAGCTTGTGAGGCCCCCTTAGGCTGAGCTCAGACCACCTGCATAGCCGCTGGTGGTTTTCGTATGGATACTCATGTTCTGCATCCCAGACTATAGCCGGCTCTCCTTGCCCCCCAGCAGCTTCCTGTCAGGGGTGATCTCGATGTCCAGGGCCACCTTGACGTTCATCAGCCCCTGGTACTCACACAGCTTCCGCGCCATGTCCCGCTTGGCCTGCTGCAGGGCGGCCTCCAGCTCAGAAAGCTTGACGTTGGCATCCTTAACGACCAGCTCCCATGCTGCTGGGCATCTGCGATGGTGGCCTCCAGGGAAGCCCTCTGGCCTTGGAGGCCCTCGATCTCAGCCTGGAGCCAGCTGAACTTCATCTCGGAGATCTCAGTCTTTGCATGCCGCAGGTCAGCCCCAGCTCTTGCAGCTCCTCATACCTGATCTGGTACATGCTCTCAGCCTCAGCCCGGCTGCGGTTGGTGATCTCCTTGTACTGCGCCTTGACCTCAGCAACGATGCTGTCCGTGTCCAGCTGCTGTTGTCCATGGACAGCACCACAGATGTGTCTGAGATCTGGGACTGCATCTCCTGGGTCTCCTCTTCATACAACTGCCTGAGGAAGTTGACCTCGTCAGTCAGCCCTTCCAGGCGAGACTCCAGCTCTACCTTGTTCATGTAAGCTTCCTCCGCCCCCTTCTTGATGAGGACAGATACATTCTCCATCTCTGTACACTTATCGAGCTCAACCTCCGACTTGTTCTTGAAGACCTTCACCAGCCCCTGCATGCTGCTGAGCTCCGCCTCCACCTTCAGCTTCTTCTGGCCCAGATTCTCCAGCTGCCACCTGAGGTTGTTGGTGTAGCTCTCACGCATGTTGTCCATGTTGCTCCGATCCGTCTTCTGCTGCTGCAGGAGGCTCCACTTGGTCTCTAGCATCTTGTTCTGCTGCTCCAGGAAGTGTACCTTGTTGATGAAGGAGATAAACTTGTTGAGGGTCTTGATCTGTTCCTTCTCCTGGGTGCAGATGGCCTGTATGTTGGGGTCCATGTCTAGGTTAAGGGGGCCCAGCAGGCTCTGGTTGACTGTGATGTTGATAATGTCTCCCTTGCTGCTGGCCCCATTGTAGCCTCCGCCCAGGCCACCCCGGAAGCTGCTGCTGCTCATTCCAGAGAAGCTCGAGGAGCTGATGTGGGCACTGGGCCCACTCATGTAGGAGCGGCTGCTGGAGGCCTAGAGGCCAGAGGTGGACACCTTGCAGGACTTCTGTGTCACCGTGATGATCATGGTGGAGGCAGGGGTAGAGGCAGGCGGGCTGAACCAGCTGGAGACTCTGGAAGGAGCAGGGATGCTGCTTCTCAGTCCATAAATCTTTTTAAGGAGCACTTGGTAACAAGTCTGAGGATCAAAGTTTAATGCATGTCCATGTAATCTAAGTGTCTCATGTTGCAGATGGAGAAATGGATGTCCACACACAGAGTGGAACTTGCTCAGATGGCAGATGTTTAGTTGATGGCAAAGCTGAGATAAAACTCAGATCTTCAACCTCGAAATGGAGTGCTCTTGCCACTACCCCAAGTAATAGTGCACTAGATAACAGTGCCTGAGATAAAGAACCACAGTATTTTTTTATAATGCTCCTGCCTAATTCATTCGGTAACTCGAATGGAACCAAAACGTATCTTTCCACTGCAATATTGCCACTTCTAAGCTCATAATTAATATAGTCCATGGCATTATTTTCCTGCTACTTCTGCTTCTGGGGCTGTGCATGGACCTCTTAAAAGCTAGACATCTGGCCGGGCATGGTGGCTCATGCCTGTAATCCCAGCACTTTGGGGGGCTGAGGTGGGTGGATCACAAGGTCAAGAGTTTGAGACTAGTCTGGCCAATATGATGAAACCCCGTCTCTACTAAAAATACAAAAATTAGCTGGGTGTGGTGGTGGGCACCTGTGGTACCAGCTGCTTGGGAGGCTGAGGCTGGAGAATTGTTTGAACCCAGGAAGTGGAGGTTGTAGTGGGGTGGAGGTTGTAGTGAGCCGAGATCTTGCTAATACACTCCGGCAAAGGAGAAAAAAAAAAAAAAAAAAAAAAGAAAAACAAAACAACGACAACACCAAAAGCTAGATATCAGTTTTAGCGCTGGCTCTTGGTTGGTTATTGTGTTTTCAAGCGCCTGAGATCACATCTCTAAAGCGCTCTTCAGATATGTGGGTCATACGAATAAAACAGCTTAGGAACACAATTCTAAAATCTTTGAAACATCTTTCGCCCTGGCAGAGATTTGCATCTTACCTCTGAGGACTCTTATAAACACAGGGTATCATGTAAACAGTAACAGATGAATCCTAGGAAGGGGGTGGATTGAAAAATGTGGGCAGGTCAAATATGAAGGATGGGAATAGAATTATGGTGCTACTAGTAATTTTGTAAACCAACTTCCCAAGTTTTTTTTTTTTTTTTTTTTTTTTTTTGAGACGGAGTTTCGCTCTTGTTACCCAGGCTGGAGTGCAATGGCACGGTATCGGCTCACCACAACCTCCACCTCCTGGGTTCAGGCAATTCTTCTGACCCAGCCTCCCGAGTAGTTGAGATTACAGGCACGCACCACCATGCCCAGCTAATTTTTTGTATTTTTAGTAGAGACGGGGTTTCACCATGTCGACCAGGATGGTCTCGATCTCTTGACCACGTGATCCACCTGCCTCGGCCCTCAAAGTGCTGGGATTACAGGCATGAGCCACCATGCCCGGCTCCCAAGTTCCTAGAAAAGGGAAGGGAGACCTAATTTGAGTCGGTAGCCACCACCAG